CGCATTTCTCACGTTGCTGATGAAAGCGTCTTTCTCGCGTTTTCACATCAGTCTCGGTTTCTAAGTTTACCTCAGTAATGACCTCTTGTTCCGTGGCCATTTTAGCGTAGTAAATATTTGGATAAAGTGAATTTGAAGCGAGTATTCTCTGTTGATTTCCAAGTGCCAACGATCGAAGTGAGAGAGGATGACTCAGACCGCAGAGAAATTATATGAGCCGATACCGCTGACGCACGCATGCGCATAGTAATAGAGGAATACTCAGACCGGGGGAGTATCGAGACTGCTACACCTGATCTTCATCAGTGCTAATAATATGTGACTTGTTTAATTCACACGCTCTTTTTATATACAAAAGTGTCGTGATCTGTTGGCTCGCGTCATTTGAAATTTTATTAAACGGCACATCAACCACGTCATTCCAAACGTAGTGAAGTGATTCCGATTAACGCGCGCGCATCCAAGACAAGAGAAATTAATTTTGCACATTAAAGAGATCACGCCACGTACTATCTAGTGGCTTTCCCTCCTGATCTATAGTATTGTGCTTCTCAATTTCAATTGACTCTCTCATTTTGCGAGAGAATTTTGCTTGTGACTATCAATCGCCAAAATGGTTGCTTCGTCCCATTTTATACGATGGTCGTAAGTCCAAGTATGTTTAGCCACAGCAGATTTATCTTGCTCGGCTTTCTCGCAATTCGTCTTGTGTTCTTTAAGACGTACTGAGAGATTTCGACCAGTTTCACCAATGTAAACCAGACCACATTCACAAGGAATGCGGTACACACCAGGTTTCTGAGATTCATTTACATTGTCCTTATGTGTGCAAAGAGCTCGAAACAATTTGTTTTCGCTGGAATGGTATACCTTTATACCTGCTTCATTCCTCAAAATTCTTTCGATTTTGTGTGAAGCCGGGCCAATGTATGGTAGATAAACAGACGACTGATACTCAATCTTCTGCTGTATACTTTGTGGCGTTTTCATAGCATTATCTATAAAATGCCGTGGGTAACCATTCGTTTTTAGAACATTTCTTAAATGTTCTAATTCATTGTCAACGTTACTTACCTCACAAATTGTTTTCGCTCGGTTGATGAGTGTCTTACACACAGAGTTTTTGATACTAGGATGATGAAATGAATTATAATGCAGATACCTGTCTGTATGTGTTGGTTTCCTATAAACCTTATGTCCTAGCATAGACAATCAAAGGAATGGACTGGAAACGCCATATATTAAGCGTGTTACTTCCGTGATGCGGTCAGCTGTACATTTTGCGGGCTCATGTACACAAATTAGCTATTCAAGATGGCGGAGTCAACAAGCGCGATGGCTGATTTAGATTGGGATGCGATTTTCGAGATAGATTTTGTGGAGGAAAGCGGTAGTGAAGGCGAAAATTCAGACAGCGAAGACGACGGGTTACCAATTAATGAAGGTATGTTATTTCCTATTGTCAAACTTGCTGTTGTTTAGGCGAAAAATTGTCAAAATTTGTCTTGACTAGTTTCCCCACGAAAACTCTTACAGTATATATTTGATCATTCTTTTGAGAAAAACTGAAAAAGTATAATACTGTATACAACACTTATTATAATACTCATACTGAATAGTTTTACTAAAATTGTAGTACTGTAGTTCGTACATTTGGTTATAAAATTGCTATGTTATATTGAACTTTAGATGAGGAATTTGAGGAACAACAACAAGCATCAAATAAGAAACCCCTTCAAGTCAATGTTGTGGAGGATATTAAAGCGACATCAAGTGATAAAGCAAAAAAGACACCAAAACGTTTCGGTAAAATGTTTAAATGAAATTATTTGGTCATTCATTAAACTATATGTCTATATGGGGGTGTTCAGAATGGGGGACCTCGTAGATCCACACATAGCAAAGGCCAGAATCCAGACTGGAAAGTAAAAGGACCCATGCCGGACATGCCACTTTTGGCATCCACTTTGGCATACATTTCTTTAAAAAAAAAATCAAATTATATAAATTTGGCCTTAATTTTATGCATCATTTTCCTCATTTTTTATTAATATAAAGTCGGCATACATTTAAAGGTTCTGAATTACTGCCTGGTGTAGAAAAAAATACTTTCCAGTCTTGGCCGCTCTTGACCACTCCGTATTACTCCTATCGAGAACAAGAGTTTTTATAATTCCAATCTTAAAACCGATCCATGCACGGCCAAGTGATTTTATATTTTGGAAGTTTCTAACCCTGAAGAATTCATTACTGTACTCCTAAAGAAGTCACAAACAAAATAGCCGTAAACCTCCAACTATAAGCCCTTGGCTTATATACTTTCATAAGCGATTTTTGATGGGCTTATACAAGGGGGGGCTTATATAGGGGGGGGGGCTAATACATGGATGATCTTTTGTGTTTAGTAAGGCCAAAAAAAAATATGTGGGTTTCCGGTTTCTTCATATAAAAACTTAGGTAGGGTAGGTCGGTTTTAACTTTTTTTTAAAACTTTTTTTTAATTTTCCGAACAAGCGGACGCCATTTTGTTTAGTCAGTGCTTCCACTTCCAAAGATAAATTTTCCTAATATTGCTTCAAATTTCAATTTTCCACAAACTTTTTCCTCTAAGTGGAAACACTTACAAGCATGATCCAATAAAAAAGTTTAGGATCGGGATTTCGACGTCCAAAAGCTAGGTAGGGTCGGGAAACCGGAAACCCACATATTTTTTTTTTTTGCCTAACAAACAAGTCAGACATAAACAAGTCAGTCATAAACAGGAAAATAAACATGTGTTAATAATGGGTCATTCCAGAAAACATCCATACCGCCCCCACGGAGGAAATTGGAAGTTAACCAGATGCCAGAAAGTTGCCAACCACTCAGCGCGATAGAATGTGGAGGGCATTTCATGCCTTGTGTTCCAGTCGTGATTTTGTTGTGGAATGCGAGCTTTTCCTTTATCCTGCTCTTTTACAGGATGCTACCTGCAGGCTTTTCAATCAATCTTTTGTGACCAGATTGTTTGAAAATATTATTTTGTTCAAAACCACAGTTGTCCCAACTACTGTCGCTGGTAGTCAATCTGAAGAGATAGAGATGACGGTTGTGGAGGAGAACATTTTAAGATATGCTGTGGGTTTTGTTCCTTTCTCTCTGAAAAAACAGTGTTCAAAGAGAAAGACCAGGACTGATGAGTTCAGGCAAAAAATGAAATGTTTAAGTGCACTAGGTGTTGATGACGAATTGGAAAAATCCCAAACATTCTTGGAGTATACCAGAAGTTGGATAGAGAAACAAAATCGGGGGGGTTTGTTTCAATTGAACGATGCTGGGTATCTGTTCTTTAGAGCAGTGGAACGTCACTGTAGGAAGTTCCTCCAGCAAACATGCGTGCCTAACAATGGTTCTTCAGACATCCGGGAACTTGTTTTGAAGGATATTTACAACGACAACGTTGCTTTACAACATTGGGCACATGCAACGGCAGGGCAGCCTTCATCTGTATCTCTTCAAGTCCTACAAATGTGTGTCAAGTTGTGGGTGACCATCAGAGGGCATGCGTTCGCAGCCAACTGGGTTGAAAAATTTAAACAGTCGCAATGTGCTGGAAAAAAGAAAGCACTAAGGAAGGATCTGAAAGATCTATTAGATCTGAAAGATTATAACAGTGTTAAGGCATGGACGAAACACGCAACATCTTTTTATAACGAATAAAATCGTTTGCATAAGACAGTACTGACAACGGCTGAACACAGTTTGACATTTGCACGTGAAACATACCTTCATGCTACTCTTAGTGTCTCTTCTCTAAACGATTATCGAACGAACCTCATTGTGGCTTGTAACACCTCTTTCAATGTATTGTTGAAATCGTGCCTCCAAACTTTGCGCTGTTTTGCGTCTTTGTGTAGTGAACAAAGTTGCTCTGTTCTTGCCAGAATAGTCAGTAGTCATTGTTTTGTGAAAAGCCCAACCAAGTCTGTTTTGTGTTTTAGTTTATTTTTCAACCGATATGGAGACTAAAACCAATGCAGTTTGCCTTACTTCATTATTTCATGCTCATGTCTAATCAATGCCATACGATTTTATTCGTTAATGGAGGAGTCATGCGTGCGGGAACTAAATACCAGAGATGGAATACTTTGCACTTCTGCTATTGATAACAAAAATTTCATCACAGCTTAAAAGAGCATCACAAAATTAGTAATATTCCGAAGTTTCGTTGTAAAATGTTGTAAAATGCGGATAATATAGCCTTGCAAAATTTGCCGTTTTCCAGTCATTTTGTATTACGCGTAGGAAACTGACAGCCCAATCGGGTGTTGGGGCATCAATTTCCCGTTTGTAATACAAAATGACTGAAAATTGCAATATTACTAATTTTGTGATGCTCTTTCAAGCTGAGATGAAATTTTTGTCCAGACTTGTCTAGATCAAAATTCTAGTTATAAGGGGAAAGGTCCATTACTTTTCTGTTTTGGTCTTCTTGGCCTTTTCGGCAATGGAGTGTCGTCAATTTCTTGGGTATAGCCCGATCTCTTGCTATTTCCACTAACAGGAGCCAGTGCTTGAGAACCAAGAAGACGTACGCTGTTCTCGTTTTGGTTGAATTGTGCAACTGTTGGGTTGTCATTTCCCCCTTTCATTTGTCGCTGTTTTCCGAAATGTGATTCCAATGGGTCTTGGTTAAAACGTTCACTTAAAATGAACTTTGCACCAGTGTGGACCAGCAAATATTTTGTCAATTCCACAAATGAATTAACTAAATAAATAACAGAAGCCACGCAAAAATTAATACATAATCTAATTCCATCATGCAGAAACTCTGAAACTAGTATATTCAATACCTGTCATTCGTAGTCCTTCAACAGTTTGATGACTTAGTTTCATTTTGGCCTTTTGCTTGGGATCAAGGTTTTCTAAGCTTTCCACTGAATTCGACCAATTTCTCAGATACTCTAGGAAATTCTCTTTCAACCACTGATTTGGCAAAAACAAACAAATTAGTTATACTCTATACATTTTAAGTATTGACAGTACTCGTACTTATCAAGAAATAAGCAGGGCATCCCTGCTTTAGAATGTAATATCAAATTAAAATTAAGCGAACACCTTTAAACGCGAATCACCAGGTGATGTGTATGGAGCCAAATCTGGTTTTCTGTTTCTGCTTGCCTCCGTCAATGATCTGGTATTCATGCAATCAAAGAATTTATCAAACATTTTGATAAACTCTACTGTGCCTTGTAACTTCTGATCATAAAATGATTGAAGAGCATTCGCAACTGAAGTACTAAGTACCTTAGAACAAAAAGAAGATATTATTGATATAATTGTGAAAATATCTTTAAAATAAGCAATAAAATTGTAAGCAAAGGCAATATATACCTGGGCAGCTAAGTTGACTTTCATCCTGGAATACGATGTTAGATAAATATGTTCATATTTCAGCTTTGGTACCAGTGTTAGTCCACCGCGCCTAAGGTCATCCTTGCACAGGTTAACAACATGTAACCAAGAAATGCTGTAACCTCCATTCTAAAACAAAAATATGATACCGTATAGTTTGTAACTTATCTATATATGTGTATACGAGTAGGTTTTTGTCTACGAAACGCAAAGTCAAAGAGTGCTCAATACCATAAAGACAGAGCAAATATAGAATTTCGCTTACCTCAAAGTTCCGCAACAGTCTGTTTCATTCTTGGCTCCATACACATGCATCACTTGATTATTCGTTACAGATGAACAGACTGTTGCGGAACTTTGAAATATAAGTACTACTAATTTTAATGACACACAATTGGAAAATTAAAAAGCAAAAAAATTTTCTGCTTGCAAAGCAAAAATTTCCTGCCAGATAAATGACTCCGGGACACCGGTCCAGATACAAAAAATACGGACCACGGTCCGGATATGGGTTTTTACGGACCGATTGTCAACCAATCAGAATAGAGAATTTTGAAAAGCCATATAATAATAGGATTTATTACATAAATCTCTCGCACAAATTCTTCAATAAACACTTTCTCAATGCAAACAATTTACTTGTCAAGTACCAGGTCATGCTTTTATATGCACTTCAGCACTTGTGGGTTCAGCAGAGTGCCGAGGCATTCAAATTCTAACAATACGTTATTTCAATTTTTGCTTTGGTCTTTTTGGGACACCCTGTAGACTGCCATGTTAAATTTTCCCTTCCCTCAGCCTATTATTGTATTAGCAAATGCCAATGCATATTTAAAAAAGGTGTTTCCTCAAAATTGCACTAAATTGAGATTTTTTCATGTATTGTATTTATAGTCGTATAGTTCTATTAAATACAAGACAAGAGAAATTAATTTTGTACAGCAGAGAGAGCACGCCATCATGTACTGCCCATAGTAAACTGCGAGCGGTATGCGAGAGGGGAAAGGAAGGTCTGCTGACAACGCATAATTAAAAAAACAAAAATTGAAAAATACGTGCACTTTTTGCACTTATCAAGTGAAGATTGGCTTATATATTTTTTTATGCCGAGATCCGCGTGTTTATGCTTTGCATATATGTGGCAACATTTTAGTACATTTTTTCCCAATAGAACTTATATCTAAGTGGACAGCAGTGCCTTAGCTTTTAAAATATGAGACTGGGAACTATAAAGTACTAAGAGAAAAAGGAACTATAAAGTACTGTTACATTCACCGTAACAAGAAGGACTTAAAAACAGAAGAGTCTTATTTTTTTAAATTATTTATTAATAAAAGAAAACTAAAAGATTCTTTGTATGTTTGCATGGCGATAAAACATATAAGACATATAATAGTTTTGTTTGTGGAAACACCACGTAAATTTATTATTGCAGTAATAAATTTACGTGGTGTTTCCACAAACAAAACTATTATAAAACTAAAAGAATGAAGAATCAGGATAGTTTAAACTTATCTGTCTATTGACAATGACAATGACGGCACAGCTTTGCTTTTCAGACTTTGTCCTTTCACACTTTATAATATAGTTCCTTTCCTTTAAGTCTTTACGACGACAATAACTCCACAATATCAAATTCTTCTTCTTGAACAACAACAACAATTATCTCTAAACTTTTAATTCTCTTTTCTAGCTTAAGCCTTCGCTGCTTATATACTGTCCTCAAGATATTAATAAAACATTACATAATTACTATTTTTAGATATTACGTAAAAGATAAATATAGCAAAAGCATGAGTCAGCATAATGACATAATAGGGCCATTTATACGGGACAAAATAAGTCGCGACTTACATAAGACGCGTCTTATATAAGCTGAGTTATCGCATAAATGGTTCTCTACGGATTTATTCTTATTTACTTGCTATAGCAATAATGTTGTTTCGGTTGTTTTTGTTTGAATATGCAAGGCTAATAATTTTACGTTGTTTCAAGTTTCGGGCATGTGTAGTTAGAATTTTTGTCTAAAATTTCTTATTTAAGACGCGACTTAAATAAGAACAGCTAAAAGTCCTGTTCTTATGTAAGACGCGTCTTATCCAAGACGCGTCTTACATAAGAATTTTGTACCTTTTATACGACAAACTCGCGTCTTATTTAAGTCGCATCTTATGTAAGTCGCGTCTTATTTTGTCCCGTATAAATGGCCCTAATGTCTTAAATTAAGAATGTTCAAGACGTGACTGACTTCACGTCACAGTACTATTAAAAGAAAGTTTTCAGCGCTGTTAAATTTTAAGTCATTTGTACATGCATGCATTTTTCATAAATCCTGATCGATTTAGTACGTACGATACTGTCGAGAATAACGTAATAATAATTAATTATGGACGCGTGAGAATCGCGTGAGACCGGTGGGGTTTTTCCTGGAAAAACGCATGCTTTTCCTGGGATTGCATAATATTAAACAAACATACAGTGTGACCAGATTTGGTAAAAAGTTTTACTTTTGGTAAAATTTCGTGAATTTTCAAAAAAATTTGGGAATGAGTTTTTTTTGGTAAAATTTTGGTAAAATCTGAAAGGTTTTAAAATTTTAATTATTAACAGTCGTTTTGGTAAAATGTGTGTTTCTTGTTCAATAACGTGCTCAAGGTGATGAACAGAGCTGCCAAGCCCAAGAAACAAAGCCTTATCATTAGCAAAAATTGCAATGCAATGAAAGCAAGAAGTATTTCGAGATACCTTTTTGTGCATATTTTTTCTACTTTCATGACGCAACTATTGTTTTTTGACATTATGATGACGTAATTACTTGGGAAGCCAACATTTGGTAAAATTTTTCTTAATTTAGTAAAATTTGAACAAAATTTTGGTAATGACTGCTGAAAAAATCTGGTCACACTGCAAACATACAAATATCTACTTTATGTCGAAGTTTAAGTGAGAATTAAAGTTAAACCTTTTATCGAGTGATTCTAACTATTTACAACACGTGGCACCTCCAGACGGGATATGTGAGCGAAAGAACCCAGAAAATAACAGATAAAATGAAAAAAAGAGTGATAATTTTATAGTCACCGAGCGACAGCTATTAAAACTCACATGAAGCAAAACGAAAGCGATTCTAGAGAAGGGAAATCTTGACAAAATCATTCGACATAAAGAAGCGTTGGGGAAAATTGTGAAAGAATTAGAAGAGCTTAAAATACAAGGCGAAAAGGACAAACTACAAGACGGGAAGCGATCGAAGATGTTCAAAAATGGGGAGTTGATATCGAAGGCGAGATTGATGAGACGGATTGCAAAATATCACACTTAAATCAATATTTAACAGAAGCCAAGGCGAGGACTGAGAACGAAAAACGTGAAAAGGAGAAAATATTGCTAAAACAACAACGGGACGAAGAACTGTATTTCGAAAAATGTAAATTGGAACAAGTGGCTAGCTTGGGTTCGGTTAGTGTCAAGTCAACAAAGCCAGAACAAGCAAAGGTGAACAGTGTTAAAATGCCTAAGTTAGTAATAACAAAGTATGATGGTACATATGAAAGATGGCTGTCTTTCTGGAATAAATTTGAAGCTGAAATAGACAATACAGACCTCCCAGCTGTAACCAAGTTCTCTTACCTAAAGGAACTATTAGAGCCCCATGTGCGTGACGAGATTGATGGGCTACCCTTTACCATGGAGGGGTACACCCGTGCTAAAAGCACTTTGTCAATGGTACAGGGTTATAGAGAAATTACCTGGTATTAAGGCAGAGTTGGTCACAAATCAGGTTGGATGGCAAGATTGGGGATTTGCTGATTTATTAAAAGCTCTGGAAAATTGGAAAGCAATACATCCGGTGGAAAGTTCAACCGAACATAACCCTAGGACCCCATACAACCGCAACCATTCGTTCTTCTCCAAAGATTCCTCAACACCAAAGGGTTGCGTTTACTGTGATGATGAACAGCACAAGTCGTATGAATGTAAGAAGGTTGCTATACCAACTAGCGTAAACGAAAGCTACAAGCAAAGAAGTTATGTTTTAATTGTACGGGTGGCAGACACCATGCAGCCCAGTGTCGAAGTCGAGTTACTGGTTTTCACTGCAAGAAAAAACATCATTCGTCAATTTGTGACACTTTAGAGAAACCTCCACATAACCAAATTCCAGGACAAGCAGCTGTGACAGCAACACACGAAGAGCAAAAGGTTTGTCACACCATTGTTATTGTCAAAGCAAATGGCATTACCTGTAGAGCACTACTGGACACTGGAGCTACGACATCGTATGCATCTGCATATCTTCTCAGCCTAATGAAGATCAATCCATCTAATACCTTGACACGGTGTATTCAAACCATCACAGGAACAATAATAACAAAGCATGTTGAAATCTACAATCTTGAAGTTAGCAACACAGAAGGAAACTTTGTTATCCCAGCGAATGTAAGGAAGGTTGACCACAGAAATCTCGATCTTGTCAGTTGTGAATCCAAATTACCCAGAGTTGATTAGTCGGTTCCAACACTTACGAGGCGTGAGAATGGTGGAAACGGATACCAAATCAGTCCTTCCAGTGCACCTCATATTGGGGGCAGCAGAGTATTCAAAGATCAAGACTAGTGAACCACAAAGAACCGGTGAAGTGGGGGAACATGTGGCGGAGTTTGGCTGGGCAATTATGTCGCCAGGAGTTCAGCCCAATTTAGACAATATGTTTCTTGCTCAAACTGCTCAATCTGATTATGAGGAACTTTGTCACATGGATGTTCTGGGTATTCAAGACACACCATCTGGTGACCAGAAAGTTGTGCATGAAGAGTTTTTGGAACAGCTTCGGCGTGATCCTGTACATGGGTGGTATGAGACTGGCCTTCCTTGGAAGGGAGGCCATCCACCTTTGCCCTCAAATTAGGAGAACAGTTTGAAACGTTTGGGGACCTTGGTGCAGCGATTGAAGAAAACTGACAAATTCGATGAATACAATTCAATTATTCAAGACCAACTGAAAGAAGGAGTTGTTGAACCTGCAAATGGGCCACCAACTGAAACTGTGTTCTATTTACCTCATCATCCGGTCGTGCGTGAATCATCAGAATCCACAAAAACGAGAATAGTTTACGATGCGTCTTCGAAAACAGGATCCCAACCATCCCTAAATGACTGTTTGAACAAGGGTCCACCCTTACAGAATCAACTTTTCAAAGTTCTGGTTCGAGGACGTTTCCATCCTGTTGCACTTAATGGTGACATTCGCAAGGCATTTCTTCAAGTACGTATTCGGACAGAACATAGAGATGCAATGAGATTTCACTGGTTGGAAGATAAAGATCCTCAACGTATTTGCACTCTGAGATTCACTCGAGCACTGTTCGGCATGGGACCATCACCATTCCTGTTGGCAGGGGTATTACAATGTCATTTGAATGCGAGTAAAGAGAAGTACCCTAAGCATGCTGAAGAAAAAGAGAAAGAGTTGTATGTCGATGACTTGGTAACCGGAGGAACTTCAGTGCAAGAAATGCATGAGAAGAAGGAAGCCT